TATCAGAAAAACACAAGATAAAGAAGAAGGAGAAGGAGAAGAAGGAGAAGAAGGAGAAGGAGAAGAAGAAGAAAAGGAGAAGAAAATTAGGAGGACAAGGACAAGGACACGAAGGGAATAGTTATCAATTTCACATTTTAAACTTACACTTAAAATGAGATTGAAATGATACCATGCATCATAAAGACATGATTTAAAAAGAACCAGGTTACCTGGTAAATACTTTTATTAAATCTTACTGTACTTACATTAGTTGCCTGTGAGTTCATTGCTTGTAACTTAGCCTCTGTTTTCTTCAATTTGGCTTCTGCTCTATCGGCTCGAATTTCTGTCTGTTGAGATACAGTAGTAAAAAAATGTACAGTACATGTACTTTGAAGTTTTATTATTACATGTACTCCTTTGTTTCACTTAACCTTATTTCCTGTCTCATGCTGAACCTTCATCAGCTGAATCAAATATTTTCAATAGAGTTCTCTCTGGTTACAGCACATATTGGTGGTTTGATTACCATTATGCATGCATTTGGAACAGATAATAAAATTCAAAGACCTTTGTCAGCTGACTGAGACCCAGCAAAAATTTTAACCCACAATTTGATGATATAGAAACATCTACAGAATAAAAACGTCAAGTCAGAGACAAAAAATTATTGTCATTTATGGAACCTAACTGCAATACAAAGATTTTTCAAGGATATAGAGTTTGTATGTTTAGGTTATTTGCTCTAGTACCTTGGCAAGTTTGGTTTTCATTTCTTCAATTTCTTTAATATTCTCTTGAGTATTAGCATTGACAGCTTTGAGTGGAGCATGGACTTTGCCCTTTTCACGTCCCATGAGAAACCTTCAAAAATAAAGAAAAAGTTACTAAATTAATAAATAAATAATAAATAACAATTTCATTCTCAAGACATTATAAAAAAATCTCATGTATAAAGGTGGAGTAGTCTTAGGCTTGTTCAGTGTTCAGGCTTCGTATTGACTGTGTGTTTCAAATGAACATATCAGAGGATACTGTAATATTATGACATTTTGGAGAGTCAGGATGTCGTTGTGATAAAACCCTCTCCTCTCGCCTCTGAGGTCAGGGGTTCAAATCCCAGTCACTCCATGTGAGCTGAGTTGGTTGGTTCTCATTCTGACTCTCAGGGTTTTTCCTCCCTCCTCTCAAATTAACCCTTTTTAAATTTTAAATTTCCCAGAATACCTTGACACATCTGAATATTGCAGGGCATCGTTATAGTGTTACACATCAACTTTCTCATGAGTTTCTGGTATTTGTATATGTAAGTATTATGAATATTGATATATACCTTACAACTCCACTTGTGTTTTTAAGGGTTTGTGCAGCAAACATCTGTGTGACACCAACCAATGACACACCATCCACCTCAATGATCTGATCATTAACATGGATTCTTAAAGGGGAAAAAGATAGTAACTGTTATACACCGTACAATCATAATAACAGTTTTGCTATCATCACTGTCACTGGTGTCAACGACATCATACATAAAGTGTCTTCACGATAATTTAGAGACTAATGCACAGTTGTTTACTGTGCAGATACAGATAAAAAACTTTAGCCAATCAGGCGAGAGCAAAACCAGTATCAAATAGACCTCAGCCAATCAAATCACTCATTTCCATGGTTGTTAATGACATCTGTAGGTCCTTTCACAGATTTTTAGTCTTTGCTGCTTGTTCCTGATTGGTTCAAGTTTAACTTCGTTTGTTTTCACTTCGTGTTGTGAGTGGCTAACTTTCTTCAAGTGGTTGCGGTCATTGTGACCACACATTAAAATACAAACAGTAAACTATTCTTACAGTATTGCTTGGTGTCACTTGAGTTCATTTTTCCTTTCTTATATAAAATGCTCTCACAACAGCCAAGTTTTCTAACGCATTTTTTCCTAGTTAACAGCATATGGCAGCATGATGCCAACCACACTGTTCAATTATCACGTCATCCTACTGTAGATATTTCTTAAAATTTTTACCTTGAATCTTTTTCTGCTGCGCCTCCTCCTGTTAGCGATTTGACGAAGATCCCCAGTTTCTCAACACCAGTGTCTGTGCCGACCCCTAATCCTATAATACTTAATCCAAGCCCCTTTTCATCTAGAGAAAAATTAAACAACATGATTGGTCAAGATAAATGATTATTATGACCAGTGTCTGTGCCGACCCCTAGTCCTATAATACTTAATCCAAGCCCCTTTTCATCTAGAGAAAAATTAAACAACATGATTGGTCAAGATGAATGATTATTATGACCAGTGTCAGTGCCAACCCCTACCAGGTGATCTCGGAAAGCACGCAATGCATGATTTTCTAACTTGAAAAAGAATCAATCCCTAAATGACTGCGCACCTAGAGTCCTGGACAAAACATTGCCATGAAGAACGCCATTTTGTTTTGAGTTGGAGTTAAATATGTATTCTCTTGAAATGTACTGCAAAATATTGGTGAAAAGAAGTCATAGCCGTACATTTGAAGTATATAGTAATGTTTCAAGTTATGTACACAATGAATTTCAAACCATGTCTGTTATTGTCTAAACTGTACATACAACTCTAGAAAACTTAAATTGCATCCATAGATTAAGTAAATAGTGAATGACAACTTCTGATGCAAATATTAGCTTTTATTTACAACATTTAATGAAACTCTGTAAGGTTACATCTAACAACCATAATAAATGTGTGTCAGAATGAGGATAAGTAATCAAATATCATAGAAAAAATTATAGAAACCCGTTTGAAACCTAATGAAAAGGCAGCTGGTTTTTTGTTGAGTTTTATTTCTATTGAATCTATTTATTTCTATGAGACTAAACAATATTACTGTACACTCATCTTCATAGCTATGCAACCAACTCAGCTCAAGTTGTCTAGGTTTTTGGCTTCCATCATTCAAAAGATACAAACTCAAACCGTTGGAAATTTAATTGACAGAATCCAAAAACCCTTAAATTAAAAGTAGTTGTCTGGGTTGCTTAATTATTAAAATTGGTGTAGTCTATACATGCAGGTATATGTAATACATGTAGAACACCACTGGGGATTTTGACCATATTAACTATATTTGATTGTATGTAACTCTAAGCAAGACAAACAAGAAATACGATAAAATTGAACCAATGATATAAGTATCCATGGAGTTCATAATTTTTGGATGGTGTTTGTAATTCTAAAAAAAGCCATCTTTAAAAAGAGTAAAGACATATTAATCACAAAGAGTTATCTAACATAAATACTGTAYGTATGGTCCTCTCATTCTGAGATCCACTTAAAAATTTACAAAGTGAAAGAATGACAGATCTAATTCTAGATTTTTATGACTAACCAAAAATCCATTTAGGAGAATTAACTGAAAAAATATATTCTTTATTGGTATTATATACATGATATACACTGTTGAAAGGTAGTTTTTATTTTTATCTTGAGAAAGTCAAATTACATGTACAGTGCTTTCAATATTTTTTGGAGTAAGCGGTTATTCCCAAATATTAGGGGGCAATAAATGGAATTTTAGAGCCCTTTTTTATTAATTATGTGAACTATTAAGTCAAAAATAGCTGGCAGTTTAGGCAGAAGTTTCCGGCGATAAATCGCCGGTTGCTGCCTTCTATTGAAAGCTCTGCATGTATAGTTGATATATATATATATATATCTTTCGCCTGGAATAACCTCATTCCCAAGCACTATAACTAAATCTATATTCCTATATCTTCATGTATTTCAAAAGTGCTATGCAGTCCACATATTCTCATCTATATATATATACATTCACAATATTACAATGATTAAGTTTTCGTGACTATTGAAAGCTTAAGCTATTGGTAATACAGCCAAATAATTAAAGTGTGTGTGTGTGTGGATTGATTGTTTATACACCAAGCATTGGCCCAAGGAAATGAGGTCATCAAAATTTACATTATGTAATTAAGGATATTGGCTTTCTCTATTTTATTATGATAATGCTTTCAATGAAAATCCTACTACTATTTTCCTTTCTGGTATAACAATGTTTTTCATTTCTGACTTGCAAATTTTTAGACTTGGAGCATAGCAAAGTCGAAAATAATTTCCAAAAAAAAAAAAAAAAAACATAATGTATGGAATAAAAATAACCAATTTGATCAAAGGGGTCTAATTTTTTTAATTAAATTATTATTTGAGAATAATAAATTGAAAATATTTGCTCCACACTGTATTTAGGATTAAGAAATTTTATGACCAAAACACTGTTTTATCACTAGAACTGAAATTGAATCAACTATATTAGATTTCTCTAGAATATTTCATTAATTGTCAATTGTCAGCTCTTTTTATGCACTTACGACGAAATAAAATTAAACACATACTGTATATGTACATTAACACATTCACTAAGTGTATTCCTGTACAAGATTTAACACATAGACTGTAGAATATTTTTAGAGCACATATATTTTTCAGCATAGACTTAAAGCACTCCAACCAACTTAATAAATGATTGAAAACTGTCAGTTTAATGACTATAAATGCAAATTCTAATATCTTAGCAAATTTTATGTTTTCCGACAATTGATATTTTCATGTTGTGCACAGATAAAAAGATACCAAATTTTTTTACGGGACAGAAGAACTAAAATTTCAATTCAAATGACCTAGATATGTGTTTAAAATATGACCAAAATATGTGTTTAACTGAAGGCTAAAAGGGGATTATAATATAGGACTGATGTGAATGAATGACAATAGATTTCTTGGAGCATAAATACTAAGTCGAAAATCACACACACATATAAGTGCAAAACAAAAACAACTCAATACCCATGCAGCTATAGGAATATAGAGTGCTGTGTTATATTCTTTTTAGATGTAAGACAAGATTAATTTAAGGATATTCAAAGGGCATCCAGCATATTCATCTCTATTTTTGTAACATTAATCCTTGGATAAATAACCAAGGATTTTCTTTATGATTTTCTTTTGTTTGTGAAATTTCAGTTCCTTGCATGAAATGTCCTTCTAATTCATTGTTAGGTTTGTTATTAATTTGTGCATAACACATGAGTTGAAATACAAAAAAAAATACCTATGTTGTAAATAATAATCTTAGGTACATGTACAATATTTACAGAAGTAATCTATATTGTTATATTGATTATCTATATTAAAAATCATCTTACCTTTTTGTAAATCCACTGAAAATACATCCATCTTCTCTACCCTCTTTTCCAGTTCCCATTCTGCTGATGCCGTAACTGGATCAATATCATCATTCGCTCTATCATATTCCTCTGCACTATAGGTAAAATATTTGGCTGGTTCAGTATCATCAAACTTTATGCTTCTAGATTTAGATTTGTCTTTCTTGTTTAAAGCAGAGACCAGAGGCTTATTTTCATAGAGGAAAGAAATTGGTGATATATCTTGGGAATCAGCTTCTGGGGAGCTGTGCTCAATGACACTGCCATTGCTCTCCTCATCAGATGATGCTGCACCATCATCAAGAGTTGCATGCGCAACCTTTTCCTTTGTATTACTGCCATAATCCCGATCAACCTCTGTATTACTTTTTTCCTTTTTCATATGTGGAGCTACATACACTGGTGTTGGATCGTTGGGTTTGTCTGGCGGTACTTCCTCATCAATCCAGTTTGCTTCTCGTACTTCCCCTGCTCTGCCATACACCAGAGAGTCATTTATAAACTGCTTATGACTGTGCTTTCTGGGGTCATCATCTTTCTTCTCATGTGCCTCAACATGTTTCCTTTCATGCAGAATATGTCCTTCTTCAAGTTCTTCCTTTTGTAGTTCCTCAGAATTTCCTTCACTACTTTCCATCGATGAAGAAATCCCTGAATCAATCCTGGATTCCTTACCACCCTCTGTTATATCATCTACAGTCTCACCATTTTTGACATGATAATCATCAAGTGCTATAGGTGCTGCACATTCGACTGAATCAAATACTTTGCTTTGTTGTGGTTCTTCAGTAATCATTGGACTTTCTCTAATGCTTTCGCTGACATCCAAAATCTCCACACTACTGGATTTTGACAGGCGATTTAGCGATCTTGGCTTACCAATGGCCGAATCATCAAAAGATCTTCTCTTCTCAAAAAATTGTATTTCCCCATTTGTTTGCCCTACATCTGAAAGACTCCTCTGTTTATATTCTCCGCGTCGTCTAGGTTTGAGACCAGGGTCGGATCGTGTCCTAGATCGAGTTCCCTCGGTTAATTCTGGAACCAAATCAGACAATTTAGGAGACAATCCCTTCTTTAAGACACAGGGAAGATTTTCATTCGAGTGGGATTCAAACCTGGCTCTTTTCGCTGCGATTCCCTCGGTCACGTAGATTTTATAATTCTGACTACTTTCAGAAGATGAAGCCTTCTTGACATACCTAGGCACTGACCATCGGTTTATTATCGGTCCATGCGCTTGGTCTTTATCCTGGTCCTTATTCACGATAGCGTCTGACTTTGGCCTTGGCTTTAGAGGTGGCTTGGAGGAGCTTAATTCATTAGGTGCCAGCGAATCAAAAATGTTTTTAAGTTTGCTGACACTCAATCTATTCGATTCCTGCTCGGAATTCTTTCGGTTAACAACAGTTTTGACAGGCTTTTTCCCAAGTTCCTCTTCATTTGATGTTATCGTTGAATTTATACTTTTTGGAATAGCTGAGTTCGCGTTGGAATGAAGAAGCGTTTTTGGAGTGACAGCAAACTTAGAGTATGGGAACTTGACCGAATGTTCATCCTTGTGTGAACGTACAGTAGGGACAGTAGTCTTTTTTCCTTTGACTTCTACGTTCAAGTTCGACCTTCGTTCAGACTTCGGACTGACATTTTCATAATCATAATCTTTTCTCGCCGTCACACGATTGTCTCTACGGAGCTGAGTCGTTGTTGTGGCCATTTAGAAGCCTTTATTTCCGCCAAGAGCAAGCCCCTCTATCAATAAGTGATAGAGAAGAAAAGTTCATRATCTTTAATAAAATCAAAGTAAAACGAAGGCCCCAAGCTTGGTCCACAACTTTCGTATGACAAAATTTAGCTTCCACAGAGTTTCTTGAGGTCTTGAGTAACTCGTTAGCAGACGAATAAGATTAACAAACCACGGAAATGCTACCTCAGATAAGTATTTCCATGTCGAATAATTTAGTTTTGGAAAAGAGGAAGTGTGGATATTTTGAGTTTATAATAAAGTTCTGACGTACGTACGTGGATTCTTGGAAAATGGCCGACGCTTGTTGTAAACAAACCCAAAAAGTGCTCCAGAAATTCAGGCTTTTGTGTTCACACTTCGGTTCTGCGTTGTCGTGGCTTATGGACGAGAAAGTTAAAGATTTGTGCAAGAAGTAGCCTGCCTTCTAACACCAAACTTGATATGATAGCCTTTCTTTCTGTAACAAAGTGCCAAGAATTTACCCAGAGGCCTTCAACAAGTATACGTCACGTGTCCGTGAAACATGATGGCGTTGATCTTATGTTACGTACGATAATTTATTCATTAGAAAACTCTGTAAATGCTTACTTTATTACAACTATAAAGCTATCATATGCTAGCCGTTCATTTGTATTACGATTATGTTTTTCCTTATCATGGTTATTAATGTAGTTATCCCGGGGTAGTTATGAATGTTGATGATTTCGCTTTGTTGATTTTCATTTACCTACTCAAATCAGGCCGTAGGGTTGCGCGCGGACAGTCTTGAGCGCGCGAGATCTAGATCTCTTCTTTCGATCTCAAAACAACTTATTTATCTTTTTTCGCATTCCGTTTTGACGATGGTTATTTCACTTGTGACAATGAATTATTTTACCTCAAATCAGTCGCATTGGGTACCACAGAAAGAGTTCTAATTTTGGCATTCGAGTTTTAATAAACCCTTGCCTTAATCAAATATTTATCTGCGTTTGAGATACTAATGTTGTCATGTTCTTGATCGGATGACCAACAACAAATCACAAACTAGTTTTATGTAAATATGTACATGTTTCGGGCACAATTACAAGAGCTTATTCATGACAGGCCGGCTGAGATTGGCCTATCGGGATTAAGAGTAAAGCGAGAAAAGGTGAAAGAATGATCCTGATCTAATCTTTCCTTAGGTCAACTGATCCAGTTGCGTTTCCTGTGTATGTACTGAGCGTCTGACGCAAGGGACTGAACGCATTGGAGTAGTACATCGTGGTACATGGTCGACTAACCAACGGAAGTAACATGGAGCCTAAATTATCATTCTCTTGTTGGATCGTCTAGCCTAATGAATTAATTTTTCTCAACATTTACAGACTTCGCGCGGCTGTTAGAATGACGCGCCTACTCGATCAGAATCAACGACTGTGTCAGTTTGACTGCATTTGTCGACCCCCCCCCCCCCTCCCCCCCCCCCCCCCCCTCCCAAAAAACCCTGAAAAAGCCATTTCCGCTTCGTTTCAGCGATTCAATTAGTATCAGTTCCAATGCTAATCTCAGTCCACCTCCAGCGAATCAAATCCAATATTTTCCCAATGTCGGAGAAAAGCAAACCCCAGTTTCTATTTCTCCCGAGTTGCCATCCGGCTTGTATGACGTATCATTCCACTGATTTATTTCCGCCTTCGGTTTTGTGACCGTTTACTAATGCATCGAAACCACGAGATAAAGGACAATTCAGGAACGTAGCCAGATTTCTGTCATACGCGGAGGGTTGAGTAGCCAGAAGAATATTTCAGCTATGCTGTCTTTCATTCTAATCATGCATTTATAGCCTATAATCTCCTGTCTGACCTTGAAACATGGCAATCAGCCATTTTAAAACAAACCAGAACTCTAATAGTTATAGAATGGCCGTTTTTATACTTAACCCATGATATAATAGGAGCTTAATTTTGTCGCCGGTTTTCGTTTTTGTCTCACTTTGACTATAATATTTCATTTCATTTTTTTTTTTAAAGTAATACCAATATTACACGTCAATAGATACCATATGTTCCTGTCTCTTGTCGTCATAGTAGTTTCAGTACGTGGATCCGCACAACGCGGAAATCGCGTGTCTGAATACGATCAATGGGACAATTGCAAGGACCTTGCTTGAAACTGGTTACCCCTATAGCTAAGTAATTATAAATTCTGACTGAGATTGCATGCGTAAGATGTAGGTTCATTCCGTACTTGATGTGGTGAAGGGATTCAACGTATTTGGTTGCACCGTTAGGATTCGAGATAAATGGCCTGTTAGCCTGTGTTCCGAGAGGGTAAAACCATCAGAAAGAGGGAGGGCTTCATTTTCTCCTGTCCTCTTCTCCTCCTCTCCTCCCCTCCCCCTCCCCCTCCTCCCCTCCCCTCC